CAGCATCTGCCTAGCAAGCGCAAGGTTGTGAATTCGATTCCTGGTACCGGGGGAAAAAAAAGACAAAACAAACAGCAACAAAAAAATGGTTGCATGTAGAAGTTCTCAATGTTTAGTTCAGCTAAAACAAACTTAGAAATGGTTAGGCTTAAGTGAAGTGAAATCTGACTAGTGCCAGACAAATGCATTTCAAAATCGTGTGGGTCGTCAGGCCAGGCCCACAGCCCAGTTCTTGGCCTCAGGTTCAGAAGGTGATACACGTAAGTGTGATGTAACAAAACCCCACACAAACAAACAAAGCTCTGTTTGTTTAGCCTAATGCACTTATTTCCTAGGACTCAGGCTATTTCTAAATGTACCAGTGAGCATCTGATAGGTTAATAAATGGCTTAGAGCTTAACTTCGATTAAAGGTTATGTCCTTCCCTACCCTGTGGAGTTGCTTTGAATACGAGTAAAAAGGCGGTTAAATTATATAATGCAAAATCCAATATAAGTACACAATTGCAAATGCCACTGTTATTTATTTTGATTGTTTTTAAATGAGACTGTGCCTTCGGGTTTCAAAACCCATGGGTCATTCAAATGAATGTTCAAATGCGTAATGTGGGAGTAGAGATGAGAAAGTCACGGCAGAGGGGCGGTCAGGAGGTAAGGGAAGGTGAGATCGCAGATCCAGTGCAGAAGAGGTGACTCGGGAGAGGGTGGAGAAAACCCGCTCTGCTGAAGGAGGCCGATCTGTCACTGAAGCAGATGTGCACCACTGGTACAGCGTTACGTGCTCCTTTACTATTGGTGAAGCAATTTACAGCCCTTTTCCAACTAACTCCGTTACCACACACAATCGGCTGTGTCTGCGGTGTTCTGTTTTACAGAGGAAGCTACAGGAGAACACCAGGACAGCGATGGTGAACGGGAACCTTTTAGAGCTTCTGATGATAAAGAAACACGCGGCCATAGGCCCACCACCAGTGAGTGGACTAGGCCAGTAGCTACAACTGGTAAAAAAAGACAAGAAAGAAAGAGAACCCAACCCAGATCTTCCTTTAAGTCCAGATTGTGCATAATCCCACCACATACTACTGAATGTCAGAACTAGAAAGGGCCTTAAAGATCATTAGTCTTTTTCTTTTTTTAAGTACCGGGGATTAAACCCACGACTTTCAAGAAGCTACATCCACAGCACACACCCGCTTCCTTTCTAAATTTTGAGACAAGGTCTTGCTAAATCGCTTGATTTCCCAGAGTGGGCTTGAACTTGCAATCCTCCCACCTCAGCCTCCCAGAATGCTGAATTATAGGTGTGCACCACCACACCTGGCCAGTCCTTTCATTTTATAGGTGCCTTGGTTACTTTTTTCTCGTTGCTGGGACAAAATACCTGACGCCCAAAATGAAGGAAGGAAAGGTTTATTTCGCTTACAGTTTGTGGAAGTTTCAGTCCGTACTTGGCAGATTATAAGGCAGAGTGGCACATGGCAAAGAGCTGCAGCTCAGGACGGCAGAACACAGCTAAGCTGCAAGCACATACCAGGGCGGAATGGGGGAGGAATGCCCCCAAGCACTCTTTTCCTCTCCCTTACATATGCAAACTATCCACCCCAGGGCGGGTGTAGCTCTCACACCCACAATTATTCAACTCTAAAAGCCTGCCCCATGGTCGCATGAGGCTTTGGAGAGGACACAAAGACATAAACCATAACAATAGGTGTCCAAAATGCTTGTGCAAAATAGATCAGACTCCTTGTCTGTCTGTCTCCTTTTTTGGGTAAGATCCATGGTCTCTTAACAGCTCCCAGTCTTTCTCCTCTACCATTCTATCTCAATAAATACATAAATAAATAAATAATCAAAAATAACGTTATACATATATTTGTTTTGTTTTATTTTTGTCTTTTTGAGACAGGGTCTTGCTATGCAGTTCAGGCTGGCCTTGAGCTTACTCTGTAGCCCAGGCTGGTCTCGAACTCTCAACGATCCTCCTGCCTCAGCCTCCCGAGTGCTGGGGTTACAGGCATGCACCACCATGCCAGGCAACGTTATATGTAAACAATATGTCAAAAGGTCACAAAAGAAAACACCTAGTTCCTTTAAAACACCAGGAAAGTAATGAATTTAGCACCTCCAAAAAAAGAGAACTGCTGAATCAGAATAGCTCCCTAGTAATTCTGAATTCTAACATTCAGTCATAGTAGGACTATGCACAAGGTCCTGATTCAGAGGACCTTGATAGGCCTATTTAAGCCTTTCAGCAACTTTTCCTCATAGAGAAAAAATCGGTATGTATCTACCTACTACATTCAATTAGCAGGACATGTTATCAGCACAGTTTGGGCTTGCGAAGTATTTACAGCTGACTATTATACACAATCACCTTGCGCAGCCCACTTTCTGACAAATGAACTTTCCAAATGCCTTGACTGAGAATCCACCACCCAACGGGGAGCCAGCGAAGCAGTAATTGCTGCTCTCCCACCCGTCCTTCACCCTCTGAAGCCGAGAGGCCCAGCGTTGCTGGCCCGGCTCCCCCGGCGCCCAGCCCCCTCCACCTGCGGTCCGGCGCCACCCAAGCAGCAGTCTCTGGAAAGACGCTTGTCTCCACGAAACTGTTCGGCAGAAAACCAGGTCAAACCTCATCATTACGAAGTACACGAACCAACTTAATTCAGAGGAAGGACTACTCCCAAATACTTTGTCTTGGAGAGAGAGCTGCAGGGGAACGTCTCCAGTGCATGCTTCATAACACCGCCTGAGTAATAACCGAACTGAGTGGATTTTCCTGGCCCTCGGTGACAAGGCTGAGACCCGGAGAACAACAGCTCACTTGTCTTCACAGAGCAAGAACGAAACCATTCAACACCAACACTGTGACTCTGCGTACTGTTTCCAAGAAGCTCCGCGCTTGGCTCGTGCTGGCGGAGGAACTCTGGCGGTGAGCACAGAGGCGGGCACGGCGGAGAGGCCATGACACCACTCACTCGACAAGCACCAAGATTCCAGCTGCCCACACTCAGTGCCGGCCACTTTGGAACCCATGAGGGAAAGCAGCTTGTAAGAATTAACTCTTTTTTTTTTTTTCTGCGGTACTGGGGATTGAACTCAGGACCTTGTGCTTGCTAAGCAGGCGTTTGTTGCACTGAGCTATATTCCTGGGCAAGAATTAACTCTTAGCAAAGGAAAAGTCTGAGATTCAGGAAGAGTGCTGCGGGAGGTGGTGTCCGAGGGTTGCTACCCCTGTGCAGCTGGGTGACACTCCCGTCCTTGGAGGTGAGCAAGAGCCGCCACGCAGTCTAGGCCGGCAGCACGCTGCCCCGGGGCGACCAGGCTTCTTGGCTCTGGATCCCCGTTCCCTCGCCAATAAGCACAGAGGCCGCAGATAGAGCTCCCCGCCAAGGCAGTGATCCAGAAGGGCCCTTGAACTGATTGTACAGGATCGATTTCTTTTTTCTTCAGTACTTTCACCTACATTATGGCCTGTCTGCCGGTGTCCAGTGACCCCAGATTCTCCGGGGACCTAAAGCTACATCTTATCTGCCTCTCCTTTTTAAACCTGCCGTATCACTGTAGATTAGAAGTAATCTCATGGTTCACCGGCTTCCACATAGTCTCTCCCTGAGCTCCTACAACCAGACCCAAGTCCTCTGTACAAACCCTGGCACCATCAGCAATTCCAGCATTACCTAAGCAGAACACAGTGTGATACTACTGGGTCTGAAACCTCAGAGTACCTGTGTCCTCACTTTGACCTGTACTGTTGTAATACCCATCTTCTGGAGGACAACCCAACCAGCTTTTAGTGCTTGTTCCGACAGACTTCCGGGATGATGGCGGGGTGGTGAGCAGTGGAGAAAGAGCCTCTCTGACAGCTGCTGTCCAGACACCAGAACACAGCAATGTGAGGAAGAGAAGGAGGAGGGAAGCGGGTCCCCTGGACCCGGGAAGGAGCTGAAGCCAGAACTGCAGCCCATGGGGAGAGCAAAGAGAGAAATTTCAATGAAGAAGGAGGCAGCCGGCGTCGCCTTCCTGAGACGGGACTCGCTGCGTGAGAAGAGCGATTCAAACCTGCGGATACCGGTGACTGCTGACAATCCACAAGCCACCCACCTGCCTCTCTGAAGTAACAACAAAGCAAACGAGTGAGGCTCTAGACAAAAATAAAATCAGAAATAATCTCTCAGATAACTAGCCTTCCTTCCAAAACCAAAATCAGCCATGTGTGGTGGTGCATGCCTGCAATTCCAGATCTCAGGAGGCTTAGGCAAGAGGACCACTGCCAAGTTCGAGGCCAGCCTGGGCTGCATTGTGAGTGCAAGACCAGCGTGGACTACATAGTGAAACCCTATCTCAAAAAAAACAAAAACAAAAACAAAAACAAAAAACCAAAATCACCACAGTGAAATGTAGCTGCTTGTTCCTGGTTGTTCAGGAATAGCTTCTGGTCTTCCTGGGACCCTTTTGAAATCGCTTCCAAGTTTCTTCTTTTTTATCCAGAAGTCTTCATGTGCTCTTATAACTGAATGCCTTCTTTCCCCCAGTGCTTAGTCTCAAAATCCAAGGCTTCACACACGTTAGGCCAGCACCCTGTGCTACACCGCTGAGCTGCGACCCCAGTCCTGCTGAGTGACTTTGTGTCTTTCTTGCTAAACCTGTATCCTAAAAAATCAGGGAAAATCTCTCCTTACGTCCAAACTTGATGACCTTCTGACCACATGGTGACCATGCAGCACACACTTCCGAGCATGAGGAAAAGGCAGCATTAGCGTCCAGTCGGTAGCACCTATTCGGAGAGACCACATGCACCGTGGCCATTCGCTCTCGTCCAGCCAGGCACCCTGGACAGTCGGAGGACAAACATTCTCGCCCTTTCACTCCCCGCCCGCCCGTGGGCATTCATACAGGGATCGCCACGGTATTCCACTCCTCACAGTCCTGGCGGGTGAGATCACCCCAAAGGCTCATGGCTCTGCTTCTTCTATCCCTGGTCTAACACACACACACATGTGTACACATTTCATTTATTTTTTTAGCAGATCACCTGTAAGATTCAAATTACAGTCACAGAACATGTCAGGAATACTGGTCACTGAAGTTCTTGGAAATTACTATCCAAACACCAGGGGTTATTTTAAGACTTCCCATCTAGATTAGTGAGACTGGGCTATTTTACCTAAAAATATTTCGATCTAGGTCCAGAATTCAAATTCAGTCAATGCATCTGTATATTATATCACAGTGAATTTTTCAATAAAGAAACTTCAGACATTTATTACATTAAATTGTATGTCCATATACGTATATGTATGTATACACATAAAAACACATCTTCAAAATTTCCCCCCTCACTTGCCAGGCTAACAAGTAAAAGAAATTCCTTTCTTTAGCTCTCCTAGGACTGAACTGCTATCACCCAGTTCAGGTACAGGAATCCTGTAAAAAAGAATACGCTTCATTTGAGACAGTCTCTATGTTGCCCAGGCTGGCTCTGAAGTCGTGGGCTCAAAGCACGTTCTTGCCTCAGCCTCCCAAGTAGCTGGGGCTACAGCACTACAGGCGTGCACCGTGCCCAGCTTGTGTATCTCTTTCTCTCCCCTCTTTTTTTTGAAGTGCCAAGGATTGAACCCAGGGCCTTGCCCACACTGGCCAACCACTTTAACAGGGCACTATCTCCTCAATGCAACAGAACAAGCTTTTCAAAATCAACTCTGCTCTAAAACAAAAGGGCTCCGGGGCCCTGGCTGGGCCAGGCGTGGCGGAAGCAGTAGGTGTGTGTGAGATTATAAACACTGCCCTTCTGTCACAAAATACCCGGGGGGGAAGGGGACTGCGGCTCTGTGCGGGAGGGGCAGGAGGTGAAGTCCTGGCTTGGCCTCTTGGACTCTGGGGTCAGCACGGTCCGCCGGACAGGAGACCACCCAGCCGCAGGGCCGGGTCCCAGCCTCCTTGGGAGGACGCGGCCACTGCCCTCTCTATGGGGTAACAGTGGCGACACAGCGGTTACCCGCTAAAAAGCTGAGTGTCACCTATCACACTCAACCAAAAGCTCCTTTGATTTGTAAACTTGCACTCATAAATACAACCTCTCAAAATAGAATTCAGTACCTTCTTCAACAAGTCTTTTCACCAGCGATACACAATATCCTTGCCCTTGGAATGAATGCTGTTGACAGAACTGTACTCCTTAGCCGCTTCCCGGAGCGACGCAGAGCTGAGCCCAGGTGTGCGCCGCCAGGACCAACACCGCGGCGGGGCGCCTGCGTGCTAGGACCGGAGGAGGAGTTTGCTGAGGATCGCGTCGTAGTAGGGGCAGAAGACCATCTTGTTATAGTTGACCAGGCGGACGAATTTCACGGCAACTTCCTCCAGCTCCTTGTGAACTGGCCCCAAGCCCCCGGGCACTGCGGGCAATGGCTTCTGGTGACCCGAGGCCAGGTAGGTCTCCAAGAAGGTCAGGATTCGGGACTCTGTGGTGGAGAAGAACGTGATTAGTGGGGCTGGGAGGCCTCGCAGTGGCGGAGCATTTGCTAAGTGTGAGTGAGGCCCTGGGTTCCACTCCGGGTACCGCAAAAAAAAGTGATTAGCTGTTGCTCATTCGCGGTGACTCCACAGACTTCTGGTTGCGCCTCAGCTCCGAGCTTTTTTTTTTTTTTTTTCCCCGGTCTTTTTGAGACAGGGTCTCCTTATGCAGTCTAGGCTGGCCTTGAGCTCACTTTGTAGCCCAGGCTGGCCTCGAACTCGCAACGATCCTCCTGCCTCAGCCTCCCGAGTGCTGGGATTACAGGCGTGCGCCACCACGCGTGGCTCAGCTCCCAGCTTTGCCGCCACCTCCCGCCACCTCCCGGGGAAGACCTGCCCCTCACTCCCACACCTGGTACTCCGGGCCTCTCTGAACGTCCGCGGGCGGCAGGGCTTCTCCCGCTTAGGTCTGCAAGGTGGGAGCGGTACTTAGGCTGCTCAGCCTGCCCTCCTCCGGCCCGCGCAGGGCCTGTGGGGTGACCCGGCCCCAGGGCTCAGCACACCGTGGACGCGGGAGGGAGGGAGGGAGGAAGAGCAAGGCAGAGCAGACCTCCGCCGCTGCTGGACATCGCATTCAAATAAGGAAAAATAAAGCAGGAATTGCAAGATCAGAAAAAGAAAAAAGACCCGGCACCGCGGAGACTCCTCAGCTGCCCGGTCGGAGGCGACGGTGCAGCAGACAGGAGCGCGCAGCCTTCGGACACTGGTCCAAGGGGGTTGGGGGGCAATCTGGGCAGACGAGTCAGAGGGTTCCCCTCGCCCCACTTCGGCCCTCTCCTGTGTTGCCACATCAGCTAGAGGGGATCCATCAAGCCCCGCTTCTTGCAGATTTATTACAAAAACAATGAGGACTTCTACCCTTTCTGTCTCCTTTTTGATCATTAATACCTGTTACGTGTCGCTTCATGGGTGTCACAGCGGCATCCACCCGTGCACGTTCTGTGCCGCGATCGGACCTGAATGGGACTCCTCACCCGCATGCCCCGCGCCTGCGCCGGGGTCTCCTCCGGGCGCCAAGCGCTCACCGAGTGCACAGCGCACGGCCAGACTGCTGGCGGCTGCGCCCTGCACACCCGTTCCGGACCGACTGGGTTCTGAGGCTCCCGGAAGTGGAACTTGCAACCTTCCCACCTCAGCCCCCCGAGTAGCCAGGACCTCAGCACTGTGCCACTGTGCCTGGCGAAGTTAACGGTACTTTTTATTTTAGCTTATTTTACATTTGTCCGCTGTGTTAATAACAGCTACAATTCACCGAGCCCTCACTGTGGGCACCGGGCCGTGTGGGCTTTGCAGATCGCACTCAGGCAGCCTGGCGGCACTGCCCCTTCCAGACGGCGGCAAGCCGCCCGCACGCACCTCGGTGACTGCTCCAGTGGGATCTGAACCAGGGCCCGTGATTCCAGGCTTGGAACCCTCACGACAGTGACGCCTGTCTGGTCACTCGTCCGTCCTCGAAATCACCCTGAGCATGGCGTGATGATGCATCCCACCCTGTGCTCCCCGGCAGCCCCGTCATCCCATCTGAACGCCCCCCTTGCGCATCCCCACTGCCCACGCACCCATGATCCTGCGGACAGGGTCGTCGCGGCTGCCCACGGCCTGGATCCGGCCCTTGAGCACGGTCTCCCTGTCGCTGGATAAGGCGGGGGATCCACACAGCGCGAGGCAGCTGCTCAGCTCCTGGCACACTTTCTCCCCGACGGTGGTCAGGGCCTCGTCCAGGCGGAAGGAGCTGCGGCAGGGGCAGAAGGGAGCCGGGCGGGAAGGGCCGGTAAGTTCGGGTGCAAGGGCCCGCGCCATCCCGGACCAGGCCACACGGCCAGCTGACCGCGGCCTCCGGGTCAGGGGGACCTGGGGCCGCGTTCCCTGCACCTTCCCTCCCAAGCTGTGCACACCGCGAGGGACTCTCCCTGTCTCTGCTCCAAGGACAGAAGGGGCGGGAAAGGACAGAAGCGGGCAGGAAAGGTTTAAAGGGCGTGTCGGCAGCAGGAACGGACTTCTGGGGATCTTGAGACCAAGGCCGCTCTGGAGGAAGACACAGGAAAGCTCAAGTGGGAAAGAAACGTCGCTGGACAGCCTGTAGGACCTTTTGAGTTTTGAAATATATGCGTGTGTAACTACTTGTAAAAGAGAATACCCAGAAGTTTTTAAAAATGAGCACTTGATTCCCTGGGGCTTTAGACGCTCCTCCACTGGTGGTGGGGAACCCTTCTGCTGTCAGGTATTTTACATCATTTCATTTCCAGCCACTTTAATAACAGCTACTAAATGTTTAGTACGCACCAGTATGAAGGCTTGTCCTGGGTCTCGTCCTTTCATGGAATGAGTGTGGGGGGGGGCCCTCCACTGACACCAACTCGGGGTGCTCGGCCTGGGCCTCTCCCGGGGGCTGCGGCAGCGCAGTTCTCCTGGCAGGGGACCTCGCTGACAGGCAGGGCTTCACTTGCGCCCCGGCCTCAGGCTAGGCCTCAGCTGAGCAGAGCCTCCTGGGCTGTGGCAAGCCCTAGTCACAACCTGTGACACACTGCACTGCACTCACACACCCCCACTTTGTGGAAATCCCTCCGTGTGAGCCTGAGAGGGCTGGAGATGCTTCCCCAAGGGAATCCTCTGAACTGGGCCTTGGCAGACACAAAGTTTATGCAGAAGTATTTAAAAACGTTCTCTGAACAAGGTGTGATGGTGCACCCCTGTTTGGGAGGCTAAGGCAGGAGAATCAAAAGTTGAAGCCCAACCTAGGCAACGCAGTGACTTAGTGAGACCCTGTATCAAATGAAAAAGTAAAAAAAAAGGGGGGTGGGGGTAGGGGGAAGGGACGCAGCTCAGTGCAAAGGCCCTGGCTTCAGTCCTCAATAACACACACTCACCTGCTAAAAGATTCTTAGTGCTATAAATCCTAACAGGGCTGTGCTGAGAGCAGCCGGTGACGTGCGCATGCACAGATGCGATCTGTTAGATACGGTGGGGGTTGAGACGCAGCCAGATCCCTAAGAGCATGCGCAAAGAGCGGAACTGACTCTCTTCTCTGCCCCTGGAGGAATAAGCTCATCTCTTCTAGGAATTTTCCCTTGAACAGCTCTGACGGAGGCAACGGACCACTCTTGGGTGGGCTGCTGATCACCTGGGTTTCTCTAGGGATCTGCTTTTTGTTTTATTTTGTTTTTGAAGACAGGGTATCACTATGTAGTTCAGGCTGGTCTTAAACTCACTACATAGCTCAGGCTAGCTTCAAACTCATGGCAATCCTCCTGCCTCAGCCTCCGAAGTACTGCCTACAGGTACGTAGCAAATGCCTGGCTCTAGGGCTCTGTTTTTCACTGCTAGTTGATTGTGAAAGCAATTCAGAGTCTGTTTTTTTAGTGGAATCAGAATAGGGTAGAAAAGACCAGGGCATGTGGGACTTAGGGAAGGTTCCGTCTTGGGAGGCTTTCCTTGCAGTCCCATAGGTGTGCAGATGAGTACTAGGTCAAAGTGCAAGTCCCTGAGGACGAACACCTGAAAGCCCCTACCCTGGAGCCCCGCCACCCCTCCAGCAACTCTGTCTCGGAGCCATGGCTCTGAGCGAGCCCCTCGGTCTGCAGCGGGGAAGCGCGGCGAGGGCGGGGACACTGGGAGCCCGGTCTGCCCGCCCACTCCCACCCAGCCCCACACTCACGGCAGGTGCATGTCAGTCAGCAGCACCTTCACGATCATCTTGAGTCTCTCCGCGAAGTCCGCCCGGCTGGAGACGCCGGCGCCCGCCGTGCTGAACGTGACCAGCAGCACGGCCCCCAGGACCGTCAGCTGCTCCAGCTCATGTTGCAGCTCTTGGAAACGCGCCTGGTCCATCAGCACTGTCTGCAACGACACCAGAGGACATCGCTGCGCTGAGACGCGAACGGCCAGCAGAGGGCAGCAGGGCCCAGTGCAGCTCCGATTCCGCCGGTCCCCTGGGGAGTGCTAGAGTCGCTGGGGAGCCGAGCTGGGGAGCCGAGCTGGGGAGCCGAGCTGGGCAGGAACTGCCCTCCTCTCTCAGCGCGCTCTTCCTGACGGAGGCCACAGGCACACTGAGGAAGGATCTGAGGCAGACTGGCTGCAAATCCAAGCTCCACCATCCACACAGCGTGACCTCCACTCTCTCAGCTATGTGAAACGGGTAACCCTACTTCTCTGGGATCTTCGAAAAATGAAAAAGGCCATGCATGTGGCATGGCAGGCAGAGCCAATACTCAGTAAATAAGAGCTGCTGGGTGTGGTCGCACATGCTGTAACCCCAGCCCTCTCAGACGCTGAGGCAGGAGGATCCCAAGTTCAAGCCTAGGCTGGGCAACACAGCAAGGTCCTGTCTCAAAATAAAACATAAGAAGGGGACCGGCTCGGTGTAAAGGCCCTGGGCTCAATCCCCAGTACTGCACAGACAGATAGACAGAGAGATGTTACAGTATCAAAAAGGAAAGAGAAATGAGGTACAAAGCCAAGGCGACCAACTCCTCCCGGTTTGTGCAGCTGTCCCCGTTCTCTGACGGAAGCTCCCAAGTCCTGTGCAGCACCCTCCTCGGCCGCCAACAAGCCACAGGAAGTCATCGGGGAGGGCAGAGCCTGCCCCCACTCGCCCTGGCATCCCCCAGCAGCCTGCAGGAAGGAGGCGCTCAGGGCCTGGGAAGGGAAAGGAACGGATCCTCGGAGCGGACTGACAGCGCCTGGCGAGCACCCGCAGAGCCTCCCGTGTGACACAGCCCTGGGCCTGCCTCGCCAGAGAGCCGCTGCGGCGAGGAAAGGAACAGCGGCGAGGCTGAGCCGCCCACTTCAGACCCGAGTGCTTCCAGGTTCCACGCTTGGACTTCTAAGGACCCAGTCAAGCCATTAACTGTTTGGGGTCAGACCGAAACTTCTACTCAGATGTAAAACTGTCCCCGAAGACCGAGGTTACACAGCTCTGCCGGAAGGACTCCGGGTCGGTCTCCTCTATGACCTCACTCTGCTCTGTGGCTTCTTGGGGTTCAGTGCTTTAGCTCAGGTAGCAGATTTCCAAAGACCAATCCCAATCCACACATCTGACGCGTGAAAACCACCGTCTCCCCTGCAGCTGGGGAGGCCTGCACCAAATCAGCTACTCGGAGACGGACGGGGACTCCCTTGCCGGTCCTTGCTCAGGGGCTGACTGAGACTGCACGCACTTCTTCAGAAAAACATAAAAAGATAAGAGCGCTGCTCAGCATGGGAGGAGCAGAAGTTTCTTTAGAGAAAGTGGAAAGCAACATCACTCTTGTGGTTTTGATCAAAATGAGTAAAAACAGGAAAAAAACTGAGAAGCACAAACGGGAAGCATCACACGTCGCTGCGGGCACTGGACAGCGAGGCGGTGTTTGTGGGTTTCCTGGCTCCCCGAAAGGGTCAGCAGAGCGTGGCCACGAAACCTAGTCATTCCACTCCCAGGTATGGAACTGAGACAAAAATGTGTCCACACAAAATGTACACAAAAGCTCCCCGATGCATACTTTGCAGCAGCCCCAAGTGGAGACAACAGAAATGTCCAGCAACTGAGCCACACAAGGGAAGAAACTCTTCAGTCTTGAGCAGGAAGGACGTGCTTCTGCCACTGCAACACGGATGAACCTCGAGAACATCACGGGAAGTAAAAGAAGCCAGGCACAAAAGGACCAACCTTATATGACTCTGCATATACAGAGTACCTGCAGTGGTCAACTCTGTGGTCTCTGAGCAGAGCTGTGGTTGCCAGCACCTTCTAAGAGGCATTTTGGGTTTTTTTTTTGTTATTATTTGTTTGTTTGAGACAGGCTCTCACTATGTAGCTGGCGCTGGCCTCAAACTCGAAGTGATCCTCCTGCCTCAGCCTCCCAAGGGCTGGGATTACAGGAGTATAGCGGGGAATTACTATTTGATGGTTGCACAATATAAATGAACTTAATGCTACCGTATCTTAAAACCAGTTAAAACAGTAGCTTTCTGGCACATGTATTTTACTGCAGTAAGAAAATACAAGGAAAATGAAGTCCTGATACATGCTACCACGCTGATGGACATTATGCTTCCTGAACGAAGCCCGAACTAAAAGGCCCATGTCGTTTACATCAGACACCCAGGACAAGAGAGTCTAGCAAGGCGGAGAGCAGGGGTTGCGGGGAGCAGAGCAAGGGCGATGACTGCTGAAAGGGATAGGGATGCTTCCTGGGGTAATGAACATATTCTAAAAACCACCGTGCTGTACACTGTAAGAGGGAATTTCCAGCATGTGATCTACCTCCGAATAATGCTATTCTTTCAGATACGCACAGCACACACGGAAGCGCACCCCCGGGCACCGACCTCAGGGAAAGGTCTGTGGAGGTGGTCCCACTTCAGCAGCTTCAGGTAGGCGTAGTTCTGGACGGACACCGGGCTCAGCACCAGGGCGTCCTCGGAGCCAGCAGCCTCCCGCTGGGCTGACAGGGCGTGTTTGTACCGCTGAGCCATGAGGTCAGCAGAGGCTTCTTCTAGCCACTGGGTGACAAAGTCCAGGGAATCTGTAAAGCAGAGTCGCAGACGTTACTAGGCACCAAGCGCAGCTTCTTGGAATTGCCTGGGGGAAGACTGCCCTGGTGCTGTAATACAGTGTAGGGAATGAACTTCGGGAACTTCCAGAATCAAATAAAACTTGGTCCAAATCACGGTCCTGCCCATCACTAGCTGAGTCACCTCAGATAAGTCATCAGCTCTCCGAGTGTGCGTTTCCTGGTGTAAAGAAATTTACAAGACCCACCTCGCAGGCTGCTGGGCCACAGCACCCAGCCGGGCCCTGCCACCTGCTGGTGTTCCGCAAACCTTCCTTCTCTGTCCTCCCCGCAGGGCCCTGCAGGAGAGGTGGCCGGGAGGGCCGAACTCCAGCCCTCTGAGGGCAGATATTCCTGCGCAGAGGCTGATCGGATGAGGCCGGGCTGCAGCACCGCGTGGCGAGCCTCTTCTGTGGACCTGGTTTGACCAAGGTCCATGTTTCATGTGGAACTCGCTGTAGGGGAAGCAGCCGGGGAAGCCCTCGCTGGCTGTCATCGGCCGTCAGGCCCCCATAGCTTCTCTAAGCTGAGTAGCGTAGCAGCTACTCCGAGGGATCCACAGGAAGACCATGAGGATCCTGTCTGTGTTATAAGCAAAAATGCAGCTGCCAGATCCCGGAGTTGCTGCAGCTCGGCCAGTGGAGGCCACCAAGCTGCACCACGGTCGCGGCTGCTTGCCACCCCTCCCTGCTACAAGGGGTCGAGCCCTTCTTCTCTGCCAGCGCAGTAACCCCAAGACCTGGCTCCAGCTGCCAGCCCATCTGCCTCAGCAGGAAGCGTTCTCTGAGGCCCACCGGCCTTGGAACCTTGGCTTCCATGTGGCGGACAAGTCCTGGACCCAACAGACCAGGGACCACCCTGTGCTTCCGCTTCAGCAGCCACATGCACTGCACCCTGCTTCCGGGACCTGCCGCTGCCCCCGAGGCGCCTCCGCCGGGAAACTGCACCCAGGAGCCGCCAAGTGTGCGCCGTGCTGTCCTCTCTTCACTCCTCTGCTCTGCCCTTTCCTGACTCCTCCTGACCCCAGCAGCCCCTGACTTGTGTCTGGGGACAGATGAATCAACTGTGTGGGGCGCCGAGTTATCTCGTGGTCAAGTGACACAGCACACCCAGACAGCACCCTCCTGCCGGCAGAGACAGAGCTCCCTAGAACTCACCGCAAACTCGCTCTGCAGACTGAAATTTACCCAGAACATCAGCTGCCAGTGCAGAGACCAAAAAGGGTACCTTAGAAATATAGGGGCCAGGGATATAGTTCAGCGGCACAAGTACCCGCCTGGCAAGTGCAAGATCCTGAGTTCAATTCCTGGTACCAAAAAATAAAAACAAAATGGCCGGGATAGCTCAGTGGCACAAGCACCTGCCTGGCAAGCGCAAAGTCCTGAGTTCGACTGCTGGTACCAAAAAAAAAAAAAAAAAAAAAAGAAATATAGCACAGTTGTAGATTCTATAGTTATGTTTTCATGCAGTTATTTGAGCAGTTCATAAAAATGAGACTTATCCTGGGTGTGAAACCAGATAATTTATACATACAGACAGAGACAACGCAGGCATGGGGGCACATACCTGGAATCTCAGCACTCTGGGGAGGCTGAGGAAGGAGGATCATAAGTTCGAGACCAGCCTGGGCAATTTAGCAACTTAGTGAAGGCCCTGGATTCAATCCCTAATACTCCCACCCACAAAAAAGAACAGAAACAAAGTGAAATTTCCTTTTGTCACCGGGAGAAAAAAAGGGAATGAACGTTCATAAAGTCTGTCATGATTATAAAAACCAAAAAACCAAGAATACAATTTACCTCACACTGGTGTTTTAATTTACAGCAATCAAACAAACGTTCAATTTGGGCCCCGTTCACTTTTCCATTCCTGCTCACATATTCTACCCACCCTGCTCTTGTCACCTACGTGTTTCTTCAGTGTGTAACGATTTAGATGTAGTCTTACGGCATGCCGTGGGTTCCTGTATAAACCAGACTGTTCTCATCCATAATTTTAGTTTTGTTTTGAAAAAGTATCATTGAGCAGCAAGCAACAGCAACTAAAACAAAACAGCAACTGCAAAGAAACAGCAGGGACAAAAGGCCCCCCAGAGCCAGAAACATACTGGGCTGCCTCGCCAGCAGTTCTTGAAACTTCTCCCTCTCGTACTCAACCGACTGCTGCATGAGGTGGGGTCTGACGCTGCTGATGGCGAAGTTGGCCATGTCCACTTTCATGAGGTCCAGCACAGCAAACATTGCCCTGCAAGAGAAGGAGGCCCTCAGGACCACGCACTCGGAGCGCGCATGACAGGCAAGGAGGGGAGCTTTTCCTCTCGGCAGGGGCAGCAGGAAAAGTCAAGAGAAAAGTATATGAAGAAAAACAAACTTAGAAAACACAGACATGAACGCCCTGATCTGAAAAGCCCATGGTTTTCAGCGTGTCCTGTCCCCACCTTCACCTCGCCCGGGTCCCTGGAGCCCCCCACTGCCTTTGCGCCCCACAAGAACAACAGAGCTGCTCACTTCTGCAAGGTGGGGCAAAGTGAAAGCGAGGTGGCGCAGAGGAAGGACGGAGCCCACAGGCAAGGCAAGGGGCAGGCCAGGCAACCCCGGTCTTTGCTTTCTTTTCTTTTCTTTTTTTCTTTGCTTTCTTTTCTTTTTTTTTTTTTTTTTTTTGGTCTTTTTTGAGACAGGGTCTCGCTATGCAGTTCAGACTGGCCTTGAGCTCACTTTGTAGCCCAGATTGGTCTCAAACTCACAACGTTTCTCCTGCCTCAGCCTCCCGAGTGCTGGGATTTCGTCTTTGCTTTCATGTGTTGCACTTTTCTTGAAAAATCCAAAGATTATACAACCTGAGCACGCTTCCCATCACGGCCCAAATCAGCTGGATCTGAGAGACACTGCCAGCCCCCTTAGACGGGGTATCTGCTGCCCCAGGCTTTCTGTATGCCTGCTGTGCTGGGGGTTGCACCCAGAGCATTGCACAAGCCAGGCAAGTGCTCTACCACAGGGCTACATCCCCAGCCCTCTCTATTTTATCCTCAGACAGTTTTGCTAAACTGTCGTGGCTGTCCTGAAACTTGCAGTACTCCTGCCTCAGCCACCCAAGGAGCTGGGGTTACAAGTGTTTGCCCGAAGCCTCATGCAGTCCCTTTACTTTACGGTGGGAGTTTGAATTTGCTGCAAGGTATTTCCCCAAAGGACTTTTCCAAGGAATTCCCTGCTAACCTTGGCTAGACTGTAAACTCTTGTTATTTTACACTAATGTCCAACACCATGTCGAGCACATGAGAAGGCTCAATAAAAGCTTGCTGAAAGAATGAAAACAAATCAGTAGCTATTTTTAGGAGGTCTTTTCAATTCTTTTCCTAAACTTTGACGTAACATTTTTTTTTCAGAAGCTGAAGATTGAACCAGTGGCCTTTGCACTGAGCTACATCCCCAGCCCTTTTGATAATTCTATAGTTTGAGGCAGGGTCTCGCTAAGTTGGTAAATCGGCTGGGCTTGTTCCTCTCCTGCCTCAGCCTCCTAGAGTGCTGGGATTACAGATGTGTGCTACCTCACCTGGCAAGAGTACTTTGTTATATGTTGTAGAAAGGAAAGAGAATGTGGTTTCTGTTCTCTTTTATAACATCAAGGAAAATGGAAATGAAGAATTCTTTTCTATAAACGTTTCGAAAGCAACTTAGTAGTAACATGCAATGAAGTCCTAAAACTGCTTGGACCCTAAAACTGCAATCCCATTTCAAGGATCGATGTTAGTGACATGTGGTGGTGGACGTGTGTAATCGCAGTACTATGGGAGGCTGAGGGAGGAGGATCACAAGTTTGAGCCCAGCCTAGGCAACTTAGCACTTAAAAGAGACCCTGTCTCAAAATGAAAAATAATAAAAAAAAAATGGCTGGGGATGTAGCTCAGTATGAAGGCCCAGGGCTCAATCCCCAGTACCGCATGTGCACGTGCGTGCGCGCGCGCGCGCGCACACACACACACACACAACACAAATCATGTTTGGAGCGTGGTGTGATAGCACATACCTGTAATCCCAACAGTAAGGGAGGCTGAGGCAGGAGGATTGTAAATTCGAGTCCTACAGGGGCAATTTATCAAGACCCTGTCTCTAAATAAATAAATAAATAGGGCTGGGATGGAGCTTGGTGGCACAGTTCTACCCCCAGTACCAAAAATAAAAAATAAAAAAGAATTGATCTTTAGGAAATAAATTAAAATACAGAAAAATGTTTTGTGCATAAAAGATTCACTACATGGTTAAGTAGCTGATAATTATATACAATCTAATTTGTCTCTTCTAAGGGAGAAAATTAATTCTATCTATGCAAATAAGTATTTTGCAGCCATTAGAAATGCTTATGGAGTTTTAAAAATCATATAAATTGGGCATGGTGATGGACCCCTGTAATCCCAGTACTCAGGAGGCTGAGACAGGAGGATTGCTGCAAGTTCAAGGCCAGCCTGGGCTACACAGTGAGTTCAAGGCCAGCCTGAACTACAAAGTGAGACCTTGACTCAAAAAAAATCACAGAAGCTGATTATGAAGCACAATGTGAGAGATTCTCATGTCGCTGGAACTGTTCAGTATCTTGTAGTAAGGGACACACGAACTTACACAGATGATAAAATTGAATGAAAGTTCATACAAAAGCATATACAAGTAACAGCAAATCTACATCAACCAGCAGACTGTACCAATGTCGGTATCCTGGTTGTGACACTATGCTTTAGCTTTGCAAAGTTGCCGTCGGGGGAAACTGCACCAAGTGTCTATATTTCTTACAGCTCCACGTCTGTATATTATTATATCAATAAAGCTTCCAATAAAAAATTAATTAAATGACTAGAATAGAAAAAGTCAGAGGCAGGCTCTCACTGCGCAGTTCAGGCTGGCCTTGAACTCGCTTGTGTAGCCAAGGCTGGCCTCAAACTCATGGCGGTCTTCCTGCCTCAGCCTCCCGAGTACAGGGATTACAGTTGTGCGCCACCCGGCAGCTATGGTCTTGAAGAAGAAATGCATCTGTGGGAACCGGAGCCGACAGTTGGCTCATAGGTTCATGTTAATAAATGTGCTCCTTTCCCACCAGCAGCACTTGTTTCTTGTATCTGCTCTGCCCACCAGGGGGTCCTGTCAGGCTCCGTGCACATCCAGTCTCCCGAGCTGTGGAGGCCGTGCATGTGGGCTCGTGTGTCGCAGCTTAGCCGCAGGGTGGCACCGAGTGTCCTCTGAGAAGAGCAACAGTGACAGACAGGAGCAGACCGCCCAGATGTGGGGACAGCCTTACCCACGTAGAGTCACCCAGCTTAAAAGCCTCAGGGCCCACCGGAGCCAGTATGTTTGAAAACTACTCTGTAGCGTGGCTTTGAGCTCCCTGAGGAACATGGCCAGTCACAAGTCACCCCGAAGTCAGCCCTTCTTTACAGTGCATCACCATTCCTTTCAGTCCAGATGCTGTGTCTGACTGAGCGGTCACTTGCTCTGTAGGCACTGTGGCCTAGTATCACTTTGATAGGTAACATCTTATATGTTTACAGGAAAATTAAGCTAAGCAGTTAACAAAAAATCAACATCTCTTGCTGGGTATGGTGGCGCAGTTGGAAGGCTGAGGCAGGAGGATTACCACAAGTTCTAAGCCAGTCTGGACTAGATAGTGAGTTCAAGGCCAGCCTAAAGTACATAGTGAGACCATGTCTTAAAATAATAAAATAAAATCCTCAAGTAGCATCATGCCATTCTTTTATCTATATTAGCATAAAAATTATAGCAACTTTATCACAATCATATGTTTAAAATTAAATATTCGCTGGGTTTGATGACGCACGCCTGTAATCCCAGTACTCAGGAGGCTGAGCCAGAAGGATCCCTACAAGTTCAAAGTCAGCCTGGGCTACATAATGAGTTCAAGCCAGCCTGGACTACATAGCGAGACCCTGTCTCAAAAAAAATTTTTTGAAATTAAAAAATAAAAATAAATACTTAGAGGGCTGGAGGCATCACTCAGTGGTAGCGCACTTGCCCAGCATGCATAAGGCCCTGGGTTCAATTCCCGGTACCACCAAAAACGAAGTTAGTATGTAGAGGCCTCTGGTCCCATCCAGACCTTGCCACGGCCTGAAGGAGTTTATACATTGCAATCCCAGGGAAAAGTTATTGGAATTCTCGCTAGTAAATTCCAATCTACCACTTCCAATGCAACCCACGGCGAGAATAAAGAGACAAAGACGTATTTGTAGTTGTGGGGAGCCAAGGGGGTCCTAAGTCCAGTTGGAACAAAGGCTAACCAGAACAAAGGCCTCGACCCGGGCCTGAACCCAGGTTTTATTACTTTGTGAAGAGGGGAGTGGCTCGCGGGCGAGTGACTGTGAGAATGGCAGGAAGAAGTGAGTGCGTGAGCCAGGCTAGGTAGGCGGCACAATGGCACCTTTGCAATATGCAGGCAGAGGTGCGCAGGCAGAGTGCCAGGTTCCGGTACCAGGCAGCCTCTAAGTCTGGAGGCATCTGCAGAACACAGTGTGCAGAAGTGTCTTGCGTTTTGGGGCGGCTGCTTCAGCTCTGAGATCTGGCCTTGACTGCCCTGGGAGTTCACTGCCCTTTTCTCAAAGCTCGATGCAGCCAACAGCGCTTCAGACTGAAATACCGGAGCACCTAGACTTCGGGAAGTTTCGATCTGAAGCCAGGTTTTGCGTTTAGGTGCACGGCGCCCCACAAGCATGCTCCCGTACCTGAAAAGGGGCACGATCTCCTTAATGTCCTTCAGCTTCTTCACTTCCTCGTCTCGAGCGGGCGCACACAGTGTCCCCATCATGCCAATGATGAATTCTGCCAGCTTAGCAATGTCCAGGGCTCCGTTCTCTGCTTCCTGCCTTATCAGATCCAGGTCCAAGACTTCTGTTATCTGGTTTCTCAGTCGAGTGTGACCAGGCAGCAGGAAAGATAAAAGTGTCTACAAGAGAGCACAGCTAAGTTTAATCAAAGTTCCTTAGGCAAACATTGCTTTGGATCATACATGAAAGAATGTGTAGCTCTCTGACCCTTAGCCAACTGCCACTGAAACGCTGCACACATTCTAACCTCCTACCCTACAGATCTACAGAGAAACGTCCTCACAAGTTCGGCTAGAATAGCTACTCAGGTTTCTATTTAAACTCCAGGTACCCATCATCTGGATATAAGAAAAAAATGCTGGTGGTGGGAAAAGAGCACATTTATTAACATGAACCTATGAGCCAACTGTCAGTTCCAGTTCCCACAGATACATTTCTTCTTCAAGACCATGGCTGCCGGGTATGGTGGCACACAACCATAATCCCTGTACTCGGGAGGCTGAGGCAGGAGGACCGCTGTGAGTCCGAGGCCAGCCTGAGCTACACAAGCAAATTCAAGGCCAACCTGAACTGCACAGTGAGACCCTGCCTCAAAAAAAAGGAAATAAAACAAAACAAAACACTATGGCTAAAAGCACTGCAAAGAGGTCCTACCACTTAAAACATTTTCTATCCCAAAGACTAAATCACTTTTTGGCCAATATAAATTAAATATATCCATACCTATTAAAATGTATAAATAACCTGTTTTATAAAATAATTTTTGTTGTTTTTAAGCCAAAAATAATCCATATTTCTCTAAGTAATTGAGCTTCTTTTTTTTCTGGTACCGGGAATTGAACTCACGACCTTGCGCTTGCCAGGCAGGTGCTATGCCGCTGAGCTAAATCCCCGGCCCTAACTGAGCTTCTTGATCCTTTCATCTCTTTAAAGTATTCTGGAACAGTAATACAAAGAGGCCAGATAAATACTCTTAAGTACCACAGTTACACTTCACTCAGCTCACCTCTTTGATCTCTCCCACAAGTTTGATGGCATGGTCGTACGTCGGGGGGTTTTCACTTAGTTGGACACTCAGGCAATCCCAAAAAGCTTTATGTACGATCTCCTTTACTCTCTTCTCCAAGCTAGAGAAAAGGGAGGTGGGGGCAGAAAATCTCAAATCAAATTTTAAAATCACAGATTCTATGGGTTAGGGTAATAAATCTCAAAAAAGTAAGAATCAAGAAAAGATTTCCCAGACACACTTAAACTAATACACACTTTATTTCATCATTTTTTTTCAATAAGTACCTTATTAGAAAGAATAACATAATTAATGCATTGGCCAACACTTAGTCCAATTAGTAGCATAAACAATGGCACCTGATAAAAAGGCTACTGGAAAATTCAGGGCTGTTAAATCATACCTCTCTGTTATCTGCAAGTTTCCTAAAGTATGTACAATTAAGTAGTTTAAGATAACAATTCAGCATGTAACAGGTGGAAGAACTTTAGTTCCTAAACATAACCTATACCCATGTGATATTTGGGACAACTGCTTAACTGTCTCACTAAAACCAGCTTCCATGTCCTAAGAACAAGCACTTCCTGTCTTGTTTCGGTGGTAGTACTAGGGATGGAAGCCAGGGCCTTGTGCCTGCTAAGCACACACTCTACTAAGCATGAAGTCTGCAACTGGGCTACATCTCCAGCACAGTTCTTCATTGGAAAGGTACTTTCTTTGCAGATAGATAACCAATATCTGTAAAACCGTATGTTTGCTGGGTGTGGTGATGCACACCTGTAATCCACCACTCGGGAGGCTGAGGCAGGAGGACTGCGGTGAGTATGAGGACAGCCTCAGCTACATAGTGAGTTCAAGGTGAGCCTGAACTACATAATGAGATTCTGTCTCAAAAGAAAACCAAGCAGGGTCCAGGGATACAGCTCAGTGGCAGAGCACCTGCCTGGCAAGCACAAGGTCATGAGTTTGATTCCTGGTACCCAAAGAAAACCCCTAGCAGCCATTTCTCCTTTATTAACAGAATGTTGGCTGGGGATATAGCTCAGTGGCATAAGCGCCTGCCTGGTAAGCGCAAGGTCCTGAGCTTGATCCCCAGTACCGCCAAAAAAAAAGAAAAAGAAAATATTGGGGCTGGGGATTTAGCTCAGCAGCACAGCGCCTGCCTGGCAAGCACAAGGTCGTGAGTTTGATTCCTGGTACCGAAAAAAAAAACAAAAAACCAAACAAACAAAAAAAATTTTTTAACAGAATGTTAGTGTTTTACAGCAGAGCAACAGATGCCTATAAAAATCAACCATGATGGCTCTAATGAGCTTATCACGGCAATTCCATTCCCTGTAGCATGTGACCAAATTCATTAACAAAACATTAAAGTTTGCTTCATGACTCCAGAGGAAGATGCTTCTTCCTAACAAAAGGAGAGTTCTGTTCCACCCAATGCCTTCCCTTTGCTTGGAATGAAGTGCATGGTAGACGCTTGGGAGCTGTGGCACCCATTCTGCAACCATGAGGAACAAGTCAAGAGAACAGAGACCAATCCCGAGTCCTGACACAAGTGAGCTGTTGAAATAAGGGTAGCTACATCCATATTACCTTGACTCCAAAACATCCTTCACATTTTAACATCTTTAAAATATAGCTCTTTCTTAAAATCAATGGCACTTTTACAATAACATAGAAAGTGCATTTAAATAATTTTTAAAGGTACACCTTTTAATCAATAGGTGTGCCTTTAAAATTATTTATTTATTTATTTATTTATTTTTGGTCTTTTTGAGACAGAGTATTGCTATGCAGTTCAGGCTGGCCTTGAACTCACTTTGTAGCCCAGGCTGATCTCGAACTCACAATGATCCTCCTGCCTCCACCTTCCGAGTACTGGGATTACAGGTGTGTGCCACCACACCTGGCCCCTAAAATTAAGTTTAATTTAAGCTTAATTTTAAAAATGCTAAGTGCCCATCACTAGAGATATTGAGGATAAATTACAGTCTTTGTGTTCATGTGTTCTAGTGAAGAATAGGAGTGAACCAAGGGCTGCAGGACACTGGGACGATCACAAAGACACCAATGCACCATGCAATGAAAGCACAAGATGGAGCACTGACATCCTATCAACCAGGGAGAGGCTCACATTAAAGAATTTCCAGATTTCCAGACCTGTTAGGGGCATTTTGAAGGATCCCTTGCCTTGAGATCCACTTTTTTCTTTTTCTTTCTTTTGTTTTTTGTTTATTTATTTATTTTTTTTTGGTCTGAGACAGGGTCTTGTTATGCAGTTCAGGCTAGCCTTGAGCTCGCTTTGTAGCCCAGGCTGGCCTCGAACTCACAACGATTCTCCTGCCTCAGCCTCCTGAGTGCTGGGATTACAGGCGTGCACCACCACGCCTGACTGGAGATCCACTTTCAAACTCTAGTAATCCCTAGCATGGGAATTTTTTAATAATAAAATACAAACGGAAAAATGCACTTGATTGGCATCAACCGAGAGAAACATTTCCAGCCCCTGGAAATACTAAACAACTCCCCAAGCGCCGTACCTGTCCTCTGGTAAGTCCACAGGGTGAATCCGGAAGTCTCCATTTACCACGATCTCATGGGCTAGAGCCATGTTGGTGACGCCTTTTGCTGTCTCCACAAGTTCTTCGACTGTCACGAACCGAGGGGGACTAGCTGCGGGAAACCCCAGGGGAAGACAGCGGCTTCTTCAGATTCGAGTTTCCATAAGAATTAGGAAAAGGCACTGGTTCTGGTACCAGGCCACAACTTCAGTTACTTCTCTATGAAAATGCTTTCAAACAGCAAAATAATTCTAGCTTTTTCTTCCTTTTTTTTAAACCCTAGAGCCTAAAGCAGGGGTCATTTATAGAATATCTTGTTTTTACTAAGACAAAAGATGGCTACATTTTGTGGCCAGTAAAAAATGATTACAGTAAACTGGAACTCAAAATCTTGAGTTACAGATGCCCATTATCCCAAAAAGCTAAGGGTTTATGGCCCTATACTTCTGCTTCCATTCTATCCCCAAAAGAAAAAAAGAAGACACCAGATTTAAGATCTTCTCTTTTCCTTCCAGTAGCAGTTTATTTCTGTACTACCAGTACGATGGCATGAACGCATCAGTCCAAATTAAAACAGCAAAATAAATAAACACAAACAAAACAGCAGTGAAGCCTTAGAACATCAGGCGCTATTTAAACAATCCTAACCCCATTACCCGTATGAGACACTACAATCGAATGAGAGTGCTGAAGCTTATCCCAGTGAATAAAGCAGAAGGCATGGAATATAAGAATTCCGTAGCATGAAGACTCGTGGAAGGACAAACTGAAAAAGAGTCATCTTGATGTCTCACTTTCCCACTGCCCTGCTATCTAAATTCTGTAGATTTTATTTCTCTACCAAATGTTCAATAGCCTTACAACTGCTCTCTCTACTTTTCTCTTTTAAATTTGTATTATTATTTATTTATCTATTTTCAGTACTAGGAATCAAACCCAGGGCCCTTGCACTGGGCTACATACCCAAACATTTTTCTATTTTTTATTGTGACACAGTCTTGCTAAGTCACTAAGTTGCAAGGGATCCTCCTGCCTCAGCTTCTCAGAGTGCTGGGATTTCACGTGTGTGCACTGCTTTCTCTCTCTTTTGCTAAAGCTTGAGATTTATCTTCCACAAAGGAAGTTCTCATACAATTTTTCTGAGTTCTCATACAATTTTTCTGAACCAAGGAATGAGGGGTAATTCTCCCAAAAAGTCTGTGGTGGTGGTTTTCAGACTTCAGCCTATATGGAACCAGAGGGAGGGCCTAGGAAAACAGATGACTAGGCCCTCTCTCTGGGTTTCTGATTTAGCAAATCTGGGACAAGGCAGGAGAATCTGCTTTTCTAACAAGTCTCAGATGGATGCTGATGGTCCCAGAAACCAATCTGGGAAGCAAAAGCCTACGAGATGACTACATTAATTTTATGGGATGGTGTTAAAATCAGAAAAGTAGTATCACAGGCTTGCCCAAGGTTTAACAGTTGTAAAGTTCTTTTTTAGTGGAAAGTTATTTTTTTTTTACTCTTTTCTTTGTAACCCTCCTCCCCAGAAAACAAGCCTAAGAACTGGTTATGTCCAGTCTGGTGAAAACCTTTATTTGATCATATAGAGGGAAATTGCAGCCTGGTGTGGCGGCACCCACCTATAACCCCAGCACTTGGGAGGTGGGAGAACTGCCTTGAGATGAACTCACTACAACACTGAGTTCCAGGCCAGCCTGAACTACATAGCAAGGCCGTGCTCAAAAAAAAAGAGGTTTGGAAAATAGTCAAAATTTCTCCTTATCAAATTATTCTCAGTATTCCCAGAGAATATTAATAATACAAAATTATTTAATTGCATCACCCCAAACCATGACTTTCCTTAAATTGTGGGTCCAGGTATTGTGTCCCAGTGATGGGAAAGCCTTAGATGTATGGATGACAGTCCATACCGACAAATGCACTACTTAAACTCAGACCTGTAACAGGAGGCATCTGACCAAGAACAATAAAGGTTCCAATTCTAAGATCTACATACAGAGGAAGTAGGTATTCACCACATATAAATTACAGGGTTGTCGGATTTTGTGGGGGGGTTTATGTGAGAGTTCTCAAATTTACCACCTGTACAAGTGAGAACTTAAAGATCCAATTTAGTGGATCATAAAACTTCACTATAATTTCTGAGGAGAGTGTAAGCTGTAATAAGAGCCATGAAAAACGGTACGGTTACACACATTTTTCCATGGGGTTTATTACACCGGAGAAAGCTACGCTGCTTGCCAGGTGTAATCCTGGCTTGCCAGGTGTAATTCTGCTTGCTCGCCTGTAATCCCAGCACTTGGGAGGCTGAGGCAGGAGATTACCATGAGTTTGAGGCCAGCCTGGGCTACACAGTGAGTTCAAAGCCAGCCTATATCACACAGTGAGACTCTGCAGGGAGAAAAAATAAAAATGAAAAAAGGAAAGCTAAAGTGCTGCTAAATTTTGTTACATGTTTTATACATTGATCCCTGTAGGAGAAACACATTAACTTGAACATGTCCCTTGGGAGGCTGGCAGACAGATTTCAAAATAAAATGAAGTTCAAATTTAGAATGGCTGTACTCTCTACCTTTTCTATTAAGAGGCCCACGGATCTGAGTGGTCTACACACTCTAAAGAGAGACTCAGGTCACATAAGTAGGTGGGCATTTGTGAAGGGCAGACAGCAACTGTTACCCAACAGCTACTCCACAGGGAGGATGGGAAAGGAAGAGTAGAGGGTATCCACAGTATATAAATGATTTATGTATGTAAAAGTCCAATTATGCACTTGACAGATGTAAAAACTCACTGTCATCCATACATCTAAGGATGACTGGGATTGACTAACCTAATCCATCAATTAAACTTCATGCTGGGCATGGTGGCACACGCCTATACTCCTAGTACACAGGAGGCTGAGGCAGGAAGAGGCAGGAGGACTGCCATCAGTTCAAGGCTAGCCTGGGCTACACAGCAAGACTCTGTCTCAAAAAGCAAAAACAAACAAAAAAATTAAAGTTGACTCAGTTAATAAATTAGAGTACACTAGTTAAACTCATAATTAGTAGACCTGGTGAAAGAGCAAAGAAGCCAACAAGAGCACCTAAGAGCACTGATTTAAAACTCATTTTATTATTTTTTTGTCTTTTTTTTTTGACAGAAAGTTTCACTATGCAGTTCAGGCTATCCTTGAACTCACAGCAATTCTCCTGCCTCAGCCTCCTGAGTGCTAGGATTACAGGTATGCCCTACCACACCTGGCTAAAATTCATTTTAGTATGTTCCCGTATTAGTCCATTTTCCATTGCTATGCTACTCATCTGAATCTAGGTGCTTTGCTAAAGAAAGGTTTATTTAGCACACAGTTTTTGAAGGTGCAAGAACATGGCATCTGCTCGACTGCTTAGGGCCTCCTGGCAGGTGGTATCATAAAGGCAGGAGCGAGTATGAAGAGATTATGAGGCAAGAAGGGAGGCTAGAGTGAAACTGAGGGGCGGGGCTCACTCTACCCATCTGTTTCTCAGGAACTAACCAGAGTTCCACCGGAACTGCCTTCCAAAGGCAGAGCCCCTCAGTGACCTAACTGCCTTCCCCTAGGCCCCACCTCAAGATTTACCACCTCCAGAGCAACAGTGAGCTGGGCGTGGTGGCACATGCCTGGAATCCCAGCACTATGGGAGACTAAGTCAGGAGGAACAGAAGTTCAAACCCAGCCCAGGCAACTTGGTGAAACCATATCTAAAAGTAAAAATAAATTTAAAAGAGCTCAAGATATAGCCCATTGTGAAGCCCTGGATCCAGTTCTCAGTACTATTTAAAAAAAAAGTCACACTAGGGACCAAGCTTTTAGGGTAGGAACCCTTGATAGACAAAACACAACCAACCACAGCAGATTTCTGAGACTTTAATAAAAGCTTCCATTACCTTCTTCCTTAAAAATGCATATACGTTACACACAAATCTTACTGTACCTTTTTGGCTATTCCTGGGTCCTTTAAAACTTGATCACAGGTTCCAGCATAAGTACTCTTCTTAGTGATATAACTACCACAGTATCAAATAACATGGCCTCAGGTTCGGCTGACATTAATTGGGTGTCATGTGACCAGACTGGTAGAGTGCCAAAGGCAAGGGCATCCATCAAAGAATGACTGAACATAAAACAAAAATCCCCCTTTATCAGAAACTACAGCAATAAAACAATTGTGTTAAACATCCTGTGCTAGCTGTTACTGTAACAAATACCTGCCTTGAATCAGCTTCATAAAAGAAAAGGTTTATTTTGGCCCTCAGTTTTGGAAGGTCCAGTCCAGGATCAGCTGGCTCCATGCCTTTGGGTCAGTGGTGAAGCAGCACAGGTAGTGGAGAGCACTTGGTAACAGAGTTGCTGGCCTCACAACCAGGAACAAAAAGGGAGAAGGTGGAAGGGGATAGGTCCCAATGTGTAATGGTTGATACATTGTGTCAATTTGAAGTCTAGAAGCTTAACTAAGTAACTCAGCAGTTCTATATCCTGGGCCACGCCCTTACCCTCTAGGATGTTGTTCCTGGTCAACCTGAGAAGTCTAACTAAGCAACTCAGCAGGGAGCCAGGGTCCTTACTTTGTAAACATCCTGAGCCTCTACAAGAGGAGGGCACAGAGATGGTGTGGGTGGATAGGCAGCACACAATATAAGGACGGAAAAGAGGCTTGTTTCCCCCCTTTTGCTCTTGCTGCATTTGCTGTCTTCTGCAGCCTGAATCTGTTGCCCCTGTGCCCTGCCACCCTGCCTTGGAGCCAGCCGATTACACACTGAAACGCCCACAAACTGTAAGCTAAATAAATCTCTCTTTCCTTAATTTGGGGTGTTGGGTATTTTGTCTCGGCAACCAGAGAAAAGTAACCAAGACAGAATTTGGTACCAGAGAGGTGAGGTTGCTGCTGTGACTGTTACCAGACCGTGTTGTTACTGAAGTTACTGAAGCCTTTGGGAATGACTGACGTGAAGAGTTTGGAAATGTTCAGAGATGTCCCCTGAGAGAGTACAGCTGGACTGCCTTAGACTGTTCTATATAGAAGATTCTGGTCAGAGCTCAGAAGACCAGATGCCTGACAGAAATCCTGTTGGGAAAGACCGGGTTCGGGAGGTTTCTGCTGGGAAGAAGGACTGCATCGGTTGTTGGACTCCAGATGATGTGTGTTATGGCTTGACAGAAAGTTTGCCTGCATTTTGCTCAAGTCCAGGGACTTTGCCTGAGAGAGAGATTAAGGGTGGTGGACTAATTAATCTGGCAGAAAAAATTTCAAGTCAGTTAAATGTTGGGGCAGTGGCATGGCTATTTTAGCCAGATTTATGTTGTGAATCAAGAGCAAAGAGCCCAGCAGGATGATTTAAAATGTGAATTTGGCTAGCAAGGAAGCGCCAGTAAAGCTATGGATTACAAAGATAGAGCAGAGGAAAACTATTGCTGAGAAGGAACAGGAAAATAGAAAAGATAGCCTGAGGCCATCAGAAGCAGCAGCAAGTCTCTGCCCTTTGCAGCCTCAAAACTGCAAAAGTGAAAGAATTTGCTTTGAGGAGAAAGCCGCAGAGTGCCATGTTCCAGAATGGCGGCAGCACTGAAAATTTGTTCCTCAGAATTGGATTCAGAGTGCCCAGTAATCCAGGCATTTGACCCGCTTCAGCAAGACAGAGGGACACCTGGCTCCAGGAGGCAGCAGACCTTGGCAGCATCCATATGGTGCGGGTTTGAGGTGCATGCTGAATGCAAGTGTTACAGGGTTAAGGCGGCTCCCACCTCGATTTCAGAAGGCCTGGGAGGCCAGGAAGTGTGCCCATGAGAGGGAAATATGTGAAGCTGTGAGGGTGAATCCAAAGATGCTATGGAGACTGCAGAAGTTTGGAAAAGCCAGGAATGTGGATCATCTAAAGAAAGCTGCAAGAGGGAGCAAAGCCAGCCCAAGAGAGAAGCCGTGGGAGCTATAATCACTGGAAGTGCTGTAAGGGTGAAGTCACTCGAGTTTGGAGCTCATTGTTTGCCATAGATGGTATCTGATGCTGGCTGTGGAAGTACAGGATTTCATGTTTGCCCTCCTGGATTTTGGACTTGCTTTGGTCCCAATGCTCTGTGTCCCCGTTTGTAACATTTGGAATGGAAATGTTTATTTTGTGCCATTGAATGTTGGAAGTGTCTAACTTTTTGTTTGTACAGGGCTTGCAACTAAGAGTTTGCCTTCCATCTCAGAGGAGACTTGGGACTTGGACTTTTCAGCAATGCTGAAACTGTTTGGACTTTGGAAACTCTTACAGATGGACTAAATGCTTTTTGCATAAAGGGATGTACGTAAATCCTTGGGGGGCCAGAGACTGAATGTTATGGTTCCAATGTAATATAATGTTGATAGATTTAGTATTTGTTCTTAAGGATTGTTAAACCTGTGTTATAATGTGCAGTTGTGAAATGTTAAGAATAAGCATGTGTTTGTATCTGGAAACTGGTTTAAAGAAATGTGTCTGGTTGCAAAGTTGTTCTGAGGAACAAATTCTCTATGCTGCCACCATTCCAGAACATGCTCCTCTGCAGTTTTCTCCTCAAAGCAGTCTTTCACTTTTTTTTTTTTTTTGTCTTTTTGAGACAGGGTCTTGTTATGCAGTTCAGGCTGGCCTTGAACTCACTTGGCAGCCTAGGCTGGTCTCGAACTAGCAAGGATCCTTCTGCCTCAGCCTCCAGAGAGCTGGGATTACAGGTGTACGTGTGCTGCGTCCAGCAACTTTTGCAGTTTTGAGGCGGCAAAGGGTGGAGACTTGCTGCTCCTTGTGATGCCCTCAGGTCATCTTTTCTATTCTCCAGTTTTTTCCTTCTCAGCAATTGGGATCTCCTCAGCTCTATCTTTATAGCGCATAGCAAGCGCAAAGAGCCCAGCAAGCTGATTTTAAATGTTGTGAGTTTGGCAAGGTCCTTAGGGATCATTTCAAATCCAAACTATAGCACCTCTACAATACATCACAACAATCAATCCTGGCACTATTAAATGCAACAAATGATATAATATTAGTAGCAGTAGTAGCAACAACTGCTGCTGTGTACTGAGCATTTATTATGTGCCAAACACAGTTCTCAGTGCTATTTGTGAATTAATTTAATCTTCACAGCCACCCTAAGAGATAGGTGTATGTAAGATCTAATACACACTCACACACACACACAAGACCATGCTCTTAATAGCCTGATTCCCTGCACACAATTTGCCCTACTGGTAATTTGTTAAAAGTAGTTTGTGATAATAAATCACAATAAAATGGGGTCCACTGTTTGGTGTAAGAATACTATGTAGACTAATAAATAACCTGAGAAAGGCTACGATCATTTTAGAAGAAATCCAGCTCAAAACCCAAAAATGTTTTCTGCACTTTAGAGAGTTAACATCAATATGGACATTCTTAGACTATGACACTTCCTCCTAAAACCATGCATTTTTGGACTCACTTCAGAGAGCCTGAGTATTCTATTCTTAATAAAAGACAATGCTGCAGGTATGATGGCACACACCTGTAATCCAAGCACTTGGGAGGCTGAGACAGATGGATTGCCACAAATTTGAGCCCAGCCTGGGTTACACAGTGAGTTTAAGGCCAGCCTGAACTACATAGCACGACCCTGTCTCAAAAAAAAAAAAAAAAAAAAGACTTTGTAAGGCTCCAACTGGACCCGACTCTCCCAGCCCCCAGCCTGCCTGCCAGCAAAAGCACCATTCTGCAGGGAATCCAGCTCAGCACCCAAGGCTGTCATCAGCAAGCACAGGATGTTGTGGAGGAGATAAGGTAGGACAAAAAATTTTGCAGGTCCCGGGGACATCTGGAGGCACCCAAAATTTACATGGGTCACTTCAAGGATTTTTCCCACTGAGGTACGGGATTGCCAGAGGACTTTAACCTCAGATGTTTATTAAATCGTCCCACCTGTCTTCTTTCCATCTATGTAGCAGAAACACACTCGTCTTTGTTCGAGGTAGATACCTGTGTCGCTCTCTGCCTGCCTGCACCCGGGTATTAAACCATATGCCTCGGTGGATCACAAAAGCCTGTCTCTTGCCTCAGGTTCGTGAGAGACCTGAGTTGGTGGAAGTGCTGGGAATACGAGCAGACACCGCCACCCTTCATCTGGAGGCTGGCTAGCTGCCTGCCAGGGATCTCAAAGGACTTCCTCACGCTCATTCAGCAGAGAGTCCCCTCAGCTTGGAGGGAACTAAGCCCCCAGGCAGTGCGCTGACAGTGTGGGGAACTCACTTTTCTCCCCGTTTTATCCTGCACAACCCTGTCCTGGTTAGAATCAGCCACAGACTTTTCAAATACTCTTTGTTAGAACCGTAGTAATTCACACTCCCCCTTCGTATTTCTAAGAGAGCACATCAGAGAAACTGAAATGCCCTGGATGCTGGAGGAAGACAGGAATATTCTGGGTATTATTTTAAAATTGTAATATTCTCACGCAATTGAAAACACACAAGTGGGGCTGGGGATTTAGCTCAGCGGCACAGCGCCTGCCTGGCAAGTGCAAGGTCGTGAGTTCAATTCCTGGTACTGGAAAAACCGCCCCCCCCCCCAAAAAAAAAAGAAAACGCACAAGTAACTAGGCTGTTGGTTGAGAAGTTGCTGCTATTCGTAAGTGCTAGTTATTAATGTTTTGATGTTATCAGAAATTAGGCATGAGCCAAAATAAATGTCTCTTGAAAGAAAGATGAAGGAAGGAAGGAGGGCAGGCAGGCAGGGAGGGAGGGAGGAAGGAAGGAAGGAGGGAAAGATTAGCTCAGAGCCACATGCACAAGGAAATGGAATAAAAAGACCATCTGACGACAATGGTGATACTGCTTCTAACCAAAGTCAAACGTACTTACAGTGAGGTCTTTGCACCCTGTGGGGACTAGAAGAGTCCAATGTTACATTCTTCTGTAAAGCTTCATCAGAATGTTCCACGGCACCATCCAGGCCCTGCTCAGAATCATTTGACTGATTTATATTGGACTTGTCAATGTTTTCAGACATTCTCAATTAAGTGTATTCACTTTCCTACGAAACAAACAAACAAAAAATGAGCCTAGAGGGTTCTAGCTCTATCACTAACTAGTACCATGACTCTAGGAAAATCATTAATCTCTTCGGGTTTCAGTTTTCTCCTCTGCAAAATAAAAGAGCTTGCCAGGATCTTATCCAGCTACCACATTCCATCTACATCAGTGATTAAACAGATACTGAGCTGGACACGGTGGTCCAAGCCTGCAGTCCTAGAATTTGGGAGGCTGAGGCAGGAGGATCACAGCTAGTTCTAGGCCAATTTGGGCTGCACAGTGAATTTAAAGCCAGCCTACAAGACATAACAAAAAACCTCTCTTAAAAAAAAAAAATTAAACAAATACTTGTTAAATGTCACTTACAATTTATCAGATTTATGGATATTAGAGAGTAATACATAGGAATTTTTTTTTCCCCTCATGAATACCATGTCACAAGAACAGAGGGCCTTAAACCAATAGAAAACAATAGTATAAACTATCTGCTTCCTCTTTTAATCAATTCAATCTTATTTACTTTCAGCCTTGAGAACTGTTATAAAAATTTCTCACAGGGGCTGGGGATTTAGCTCAGCGGCAAAAGCGCCTGCCTGACAAGCGCAAGGTCGTGAGTTCGGTTCCCGGTACCGGAGAAAAACCAAAAAAAAAAAAAAAATTTCTCACAAACGATTTTCTTTCTTTTTTTAAGTAGTACTGAGGATTGAATCCAGGACCTTGTACATGTTGCCTCAGCTGGCCTCCACGGTGTGACTATCCTGCCTCAGCCTCCTAAGTAGCTGCAACTACAGAGGTTCCCCACCCACGCAGAGGTGATACACACCCAAGAAGAACATGCTTCCAAGTGAATACAAAGGGCTGAGGAGTGAGTTCCCTGATCCTATCTTGTAGGAAAAAATACCTGCAGTCAGTAAGAAAAGATCATGAATAAAGTGGCAGCAAGTTACAAACAACCATAATGTGTGTGGTTGGGCGAGGCTTATTTTATTAGTTGTTAGTTAGAATAGAAATATCACTTGACACCTTGGTTTGGGCCAAGGATTCTTAAGTACAACCAAGTTTTTGTCAAATTCTTCCCTAGGGTTCGCTTTCCTAGGGTGTTTCTAATTAAGACAGACACAGTATTTCCAGCATTTATGATGCTGAAGATAATTAACATTGATATCATTAGCGCTTGATCACAAAACATTGCCATAAACAGTAATTACACTACAGGACACATCTGGAAGGAAATTCGGCGATCAAAAACGTCCACTGCTTCAGGGAGGTTTGGCAGACTGCTTCTGAACAATTAGAGAAGTATCACCTGACACAGCTCTGTGAAATTTCAGAGACCTCCATTAAACAGAATGAGTGACTGGAAACGAGATTTTTTAATGGAAATGTACTCTCAATATGAAGTTCGTTTTAATGTATCTCTCCTTTCTAATCCAATTTTACCTTCCAATATCCATCTTCTCACTGTCCTAAATCCTTTTAGGGACTGGAAATGCTCCAAGACCCAAACAATAGCATTACCAGCCTGCTGTACGAGAAATGACAAAGAGACACTTCTAATTTTATCCCCCTCACAAGCTGAAAATCAGGAGCACAGAAAAGATGAAGTCATTCGTCCTGAGCAGAGAGGAGTACAGAAGACTCCTAGGTCTCTAATCTTCAGCTTCCTAAACCCACCCCTGGCTTTCAAGATTTAGCTCTGGTCCTATCTCCTCTCAGAACACCTCCAACCTCATTAGTGTTTGCACTTTTCTCCAACTCCTGCAGGGCTGGTGCGAGACGTCTGGCGTTCATCACTTCCTTCCATTCAACATTCGCTTATCTGGAGCCTGGAGTGGAGCCTGCCTGTAATCCCACCATTTGGGAGGCCCAGGCAGGAGGAAGCTGCCCATTTGAGGCCAGCCTGGGCTACTTCATGACCTCAAGGCCAGCCTGAGCTACATAGCAAGGCCTCCTCTCAAAAAAACCTAATAATAGCCGGGCGTGGTGGCCCACACCTACAATCCCAGCATTCAGGAGGCTGAGGCGGAGGTCTGCTTTGAGGCCAGCTACATAGTGAGTTCAAGACCAGCCTGATCTACATAGTGAGATCTTGCCTCAAAAAAAACAAAAAAATCCCCTAATAATAATAATAGGGCTGGGGATGTAGCTCAGCAGTAGAATGCTTGCCTAGCAGGCACAAGGCCCTGAGTTCAATCCCCAGGACCACCAAATAAATAAATTAATCAATAATACAAACTGAAATAGGAACAGAAAGATGAAATACATAGTCTGGAGAAGAAACAGGCAGGCTTAGAGGGAACCATAGTGAAACTCACGCCTTAGTCGCATTATGAAATTGCTAGTGTCAGTAGCAGAGGGAGAAACTAATCCCACCCAGGAGGACGGTGGGAAAACATTCCCAGAAAAGATGACATGTGAGCTGACCATTTTTTTTTTTTTTTTTTGGTTTTTCTCCGGTACCAGGAACTGAACTCACGACCTTGCGCTTGCCAGGCAGACGCTTTGCCGCTGAGCTAAATCCCCAGCCCCAAGCTGACCTTTGAAAGTAGAATTTCACCCAGTTATGAAATGATCTGGAGGGGGGAAAGAAGGTGAAAAGAGGGGCAGCTCATCCACAGAGGGCAGAAGCCAAGGCATGGGAAAATGAGAAAAGTGGCAGGCGGGAAGATGGAAAGGGGGTTGGGCCTGATGGTAAACATGCTATTTTGTTGTTTTGTTGGGTGCTTGGTATGAACCCAGGGCCTCGGCCGCACGCCACATCCTCCTTTTTCATTTTGAGACAGGGTCTCGCTATGCGGCGAAACTGCTCAGGCTACGCTCCAACCGGCCATCCTCCTGCCTCAGCCTCCCCAAATGCTGGTGTGCACCACCACACGTAGCTCACTGTTTTTTAAAACATTCTTCACCTAGATCTTGAGCTTCTTGAGCCGGGACTAACCGCATTTCCACACAGGCTCCATACGTATAAGTGCATCCCGGCGATGAATTACTGTGTCACCTCCGCGATGTCACTGTCCTCGGGCGTGCTGGGAGTTGGTGTGGGATCCAATTCTGGCTCGTTACTACCTGCGTGACTTTAGTTTTTTCCTCCGTAAAACGGAGCGATCTCCCTCACACGGGGGGGAAGATGAAACGCGGACTGTGTCTAACAGAGGCCGGCACACAAGCGTTCCACCAGAGGTAACTATAATGAAAGGGGCACAGGGTGCACCCCGGAGCCACTGAATTGCTCTCAATGCGCGCATTCATTCAACCACGATCGACCCCTACCGTGCCGTGCCGGAGCCCCCGCGCTTCCGCGAAGATGCACACAGCAGGCGCGCTGCCCTGCGGCAGGTCTGTCAGCGGCCGAGCGGGGTCCGTCCCGGGAGGCCGAGCAGCGCGTCCCCCGCGCGCAGCGCTCCCAACCCCCCGGGCTGGGTTCCGGTGTAAACAACAGTTTGGGCCAGGGAGGGAGTGGCGGGGACGCAAGCCCAGCGGGGCGCGCCCGGAGGCCGCCCGCCGCCCGCCCTCCCAGCCGCTGCCCCGTCCCCCCCCAGTCATCGCGAGCCGAGGCGAAGAAACAGCCGTGCTTCCGACCCGGCGCCTCGCGCGCGCCGCTCACCTGCCGCGGGGTCGGGGGCCTCCCTCCTGCCGCCCCCGCCGCGAGTCAGGGGGGAGCGATGCGCGGCGGGGAGATCAGTTCTTCTTCTGCCCTTCGGGCGCCTCCCCGCTCGCCCCGCTGCGGGCTGTCCTCGCTGCCCAGCTCCGAGGAGCAGCGGCCACCGCGACTGCTCCTCAGCGTCGGGAAGGGCCGACTGATACTATCAGAGAAGCGCCTGACCAACCTAGGGCAGCGCCATGTTTTCGTACGGAGAGTCAAAAGGCTCAGTCCCCAGCCAGCCAAAGGGGCTCCGTGCGCGGTGGCTCGGGAGCTGGGCGGCGCCATGTTTGCGTACGGAAAGTGGTGGCGCGGCCAGATGTGGTCCGAGGGTGCTCACTGGGCAGCGGCTCCAGAACCAGGAGTCGACCAACGAGAGCAGGGAAGCGCCATGTTTTCGTACGGAAAGCCGGAGTGCTGCTGGACTCCAGGCGACGGCTGGGTACGCGACAGGAAAGTGAGGGAAAAAACGCGCGGAGTCAGTCAAGGGAAGGAAAAAGAAAGGAGCAATCGCATTTCAAACGTTTCCCGCCCGGATTTTGAAAAATATGCCATCATGTTTGCATGCGCACAAACTTTATTCCTCTTCCCTCATTTAGGCTGTTGGAAGTCACGCCCACCACCCCAAAAGCCGCGGGCACTCCGTGGCGCTCGGGTTGGTTTCTGTGGTTTCTGAGATCATGATGGTACTTCTAGTGGCAGCGGGGCGCCGTCTGTGGGAAGAGACCCAGATCCGTAAAGACGGAGGCAGAGGTGGGTGTCTGTGTGTAAACGGTTCCCTCGAGAGCTCGGCTCTGTGCAGGTCGTTCCTACGCACCTGAGTGCGCAAGGCATTTTATGTAGTGTGTGTGTTCCGGAAAGGAAGAACATTTCCCCCGAGCTACGATGTTAAACTCACTTTGGGGCCTCGTATCCTTAGTTCTAGGACTGTGGGGATCTTCAAGCTCGCCTGAGTTGCTGTTCCAAAAAAACTGCTTTTTCAGTCTGCGGCAATAAAAAAGCAATCTACACAAATACAAATAGTTGTGCCTGATTTTAAAAGATAAAAGGCAACCAAGCATGGTGGCGCACACCAGTAATCCCAGCACGCGGGAGGCTGAGGCAGGAGGATCACTGTGAGTTCGAGACCAGCCTGGGCCACAAAGTGAGCTCAAGGCCAGCCTGAACTGCAGAGAGACCCTGTCTCAAAAAGACAAAAAAAAAAAAAAGAAGAAGAAGAATGATTTACTTGTAATCTGGTACATATTTTTTGTTTGTTTCTGTGCGGCTGAGCTATATTCCCGGCCCCTTGGTACATATTTTGAACTGTTTCTTTTAAATGTGAAAAATAAATTGAGCCATATTCCCTTTTTGAGTAGTTTTTTGAGTTCTGTTTGGGTTTTTTGAGACAGGGTCTCACTCTGTTGTTGAGGCTGGCTTTGAACTTACGGATATCCTCCAGCCTCAGCCTCCCCGGAGCTTGGATTACAGGGGTGCACCACCATGCCCAGCCCCTATTCCAGTTTGACCTTTGGATCAAAGACTAGGAAGTCAAACTGCCTCAAGGCAAAAGTTCACTGTAAGGCTACACACAGGACTGGAAAAAGGAGACAGCTGCTCTGGAGAAGGTGAGCTGCTACCCTGTCACCTCCCTGGAGCATGAGGAGGATCTCTCCTCACATCTCTGCTTCCCGCTGGTTTTTCTAGTTTCCTAATTGCCGTTCTCTCTCGGAACCAATTTTTCTTAAAATTTTACCCTGTTCTTATTAACCATAGACTGTGGTGTACAGGTATGTTTTTCATGAAATTGTCATTCTGTTCGTTGCTTCTTCTAGGAGGATGTACATCATGAAGCTGTTACCTGCCTTCCCCTCAAGGCGCTGGTTTTGGTTGCCGAAGACGGTTCTTAATTATGTGCAAAATCAAGATTGTAAAGCAGCAGAGGTGCTGTGCCAGCTGTTTTGTCTCACCATGTTGAAAAGCTTGTTTCTGAGAACTTCCTCTCACACGTAAGCCGTGACTTCTCTCTCATTATAAAGAAAGCTGCTCCCGCTTCTTTATGCAAGAAAAACTTGCAGTGCTTTATTGAGTTGGTACCATAGCTATTATATTACAGAGATTAGCCCTCGACCTTCCTCCACTTGAAGACTAGACAGTAGCAGTTCTATCAGAAAATAAAAAATTACTGATGTCAGCATGTCGGTGTCGCTTAAGTTTTCCCTACCTCTCATCAGAATCTAAGTTAAAATGTGAAATTCAGCCTCAAAATATAACCAAAAGGTTAGGGATAAACAGCTTCAGGTTGTATTTCACAGTGTGTTACACTGTTTTTCTACTTGCCAAATATGTCTTGACAGGGCAGTGGTTCTGAAATAATCATTAGTTAAAAGGTTAAAAAAAAAACTTTTGCTCTAAGGATCAATTTACAAGAAATACAGGACACAAAGGAACTGATAAATGACAGTCTAAGCTTACAGTCAGCAATCCAGACTGTGGGAAACGCAAAGACAAATGACCAGGTTTACTCAAAAACAGAAAAAAAGAGTGGAAAAAGAAAGAAAAACCAGCATAGTGATGCATGCTGTGATCCCAGCACTTGGGAAGCTGAGGCAGGAGGATCACCTTGAATTTCAAGGTGAGCCAGGGCTACGTAGTGAGTTCAAGGCCAGCCTGAACTACAAAGCAAGACCTTATCCCCAAACACAAAACAAAAAAAGAGAAGTAGCAACAGATTAAGAAACTTAAGCAGCACATTAACAGTTGCAATTTATGGACACTGGTTGGATCCCTATTTGAATAAACTATCAAAAATCATTTGAGATCAAATTTGAGCATTAACGGCACACTTGATATAAAGAAATTACAAGACTTATGAGTAATAATGATGTAGTTAAGATTTTTTGAGATAGGGTCTCCCTATATAGCTTAGGCTGGCCTTGAACTCACTGTATACCCCAGACAGGCCTGGAACTTGCAGCAATCTGCCTGCCTCAGCCTCCTGAGTGCTAGGATTACAGTGTATGCCGCCATTATTTTTTTTTATTTTTATTTTTATTTTTTGGCAGGGGCACGGGGAATTGAACTCATGACCTCATGCTTGCCAGGCAGACGCTGTGCCACTGAGCTATGTCCCTGGCCCGTATGAACCCATTCGTGGCTGTAGTTGTTTTTAATGTTCTCTTGTGGTCAAACATACTGAAACTTTATACATGAGGGGATCTGATGTCTAAAGTTTGCTGGGGGGACCCATGGAGTGGGGAGAGATACAGGTGAAACAAGATTGGCTATCAACTGGTAACTGTTTAAATTGGTTGGCGGGTAGGTACATACACATTTTTGTATATGTTTGAAATCTCTCATGAGCTTGAAAAGATGTTGAAGTTTTCAGAAACATTAGGACAGTCTGCTTTCTGCTTGTCTACAATTTGTAGTAATTCATTTGATCATAGCCAAAATTTCTATCTTGCCCCTTTTAGGAATACCTCTAAAACTACAAATCATACCATTAATATGCAACTGTAGACCACCTTACTGTTAAATTCCTTCTTATATAAATACTACATATCAGATCATCTAAATCCCTGTTTGTTTTTTGGCTTTTTGAGACAGGGTTTCACTGTGCAGTTCAGGCTGGCCTTGAGCTCAACTTGTAGCCCAGGCTGGTCTCGAACTTGCAAGGATCCTCCTGCCTCAGCCTCCCGAGTGCTGGGATTACAGGTGTGTGCTACCACACCCGTTTTTTGTTGTTTTTTTTTGTCTTTTTGAGATTTTGAGATGGGGGTCTCCGGTCTCACTACCCAGTTCAGGCTGGCCTTGAGCTAAATCCCTACAATGTTGAGCCCTATAAACTGTAACTACAAATTAACTCACCGAAGAGATTCATGCTCCATGGCAATACACTACATTTCACTACAATTCAGTTTTTTGTTTTTTTTTTTTTTTAATTTTATTTTAAAGAGTAAAAGAAGGATAACATAATAATAGGGGGGAGTTAGCAAATTACTGACAAAATGGTAGGAAATTATCAATGGTTATCGTTTTACATATTGTTATCTACAAAATAGTTTCTCAGGAAAACAAATAGACCAATAATAGTGAGTTAGAGACAAAAGAGGTAGGAGATTATCAAGAGTTGTTGTACTATACTTTGGTATCTTCAAAGTGGCTTCTAAAGAAAATAAATAGAGCTATACATGAGTGACCTATTGAAAAATCATTAACTATTCTCAATGGTTGTTGTAGGCAACACATAATAATAAACATACATCCATTTATGAAATAGGATAGGAACATTACAAACTTTACACAGTTATGGATAGATTAGTAGGAAAATATCAATGGCTGCTGTGGTACATGGGGGTATCTTCAAAGTGGTTTCTCAGGAAGACAGAGATATGCAAGAAGGATCTAATAAGTAGTTACAGCCTAAGGGTTGTCAAAAATAGCATATTACCTCACCAGTGACTCCTTTCACTGAGGTATGACGGCTGGAAGGAAGGCCAGGATTGAAAAGAAGGACTGAGAGACTTGCACCTGTGTCTAGTAGCAGGCTGTTTTCTTGTTCCTCCATAGTCATGATTACCCAGGACTCCTTGATAGAGATGACGGTCTGGCCAGAGGGAGAAGGCAGACCATGCCCCAAGCCCTCTCATTCCTGTTGGACTAACTGGTAGCATGGGTCTGAGCTCTGGGGCCTCCACCTCAGAGGGCAGACCAATCTCCAGTGGTCTCCTTTGCATCCAGGGCATGGCCCATGGGGCCTCTTAGGGCAGTTCCTCTTGAGGTGGCCTGGCTTTTAACAGTGGTTGCAGATGAATGCAGTTGTCGAGTTCTTCTTGGGGCCCCGGGAATCAGACCTGGGATCTGTTTCTCTTAGTGGTGCAGCAAAAGCAGCTGCTTTTTCTCAGTCTCTTTGTTTTCTCTTGGTCTCTTTGTTTTCTCTCCTTGGCCTCCTCCTCATCATGGCTATAGAATACTGAGGAGGCAATTCTTACTAACATCTCAAGTGAGCTATCTGGGGTGAAAGCCATTCTTTGTAGCTTTTTCTCTCCAGCTTCCCATTGCTTTGGGACCCCACAACCAGTTAGTGTCCTTTCCCCAACTGTCAGCACAGTCAGCAGGAATCCTGCTGCAGACTTCTCTGGAGCTCCACCACACCCTGTACTGTCAGGGGAAGAATGGCTTCCAATGAGTCTCTGCAAGTATTGTGCAAGGTCCTCCTGGTTTACAGCTTCCGAGCGGCTCTCGTGACCCCAGTCCACTGGACCTCTGACTCCATGGGCTTAGTCTGCATTCTCATGTTCTCTGAGTCCTTGTTCAGCAGCTGCTCCTCCGCTGACTCTGGACCTTTCTGGTTCCCAATGGCAGGAGGAAGAGTGGTCCGTTGTATGGCATGCATTCCCAGGGGTTGTTCAAAGTTTCAGTGATTCACACACATCCGTGGGTGGGCAACTGCTGTCGGAGCATGGTGGGCCAATTGTGTCACTGTTTCTGTGTGTCATGATAGATCCCAATTGAGCGGCGGCGGCGGCGGCGGCCTAAGGGCCGGTACGCAACAGCGCTCGCCGCCGCATGGCTCCCGTGTGCTGGGGGCCCACCCTCCAGGAGCCAGCAGGCAGGAAGCTAGCCAGCCGGAAGACTGGTGCTCCCCACCCGTGGCTCCCTGTGTGCCGGAAGCCCTCCTTCCGGGGAATGACAAGGCCGGGAGTGAGTTGCCGGTCCGAAGACCCCAAAGACCGGCGCTCCCTGCCCGAGGCTCCCCGTGCGCTGGGGTACAATTCAGTTTCTGACACACAGAGTTATAAAAAAAAAGTTTTATTAAGTACAGTTTCATATTTAGAACTTCCAAGCTTACAAACGTGATTGGATCTTTAGGCTACATAATTTACTCTTAAAATACACAACTTATATACAGACATTAGAAATTCAGTCTCCAAAATACTCAATAAAGACATCTGGATGACACTTATAGAACTGACCTAGCAGTTTCTTCTTCTGTTTGGCAGATAGTTTAGAATCCTCATCAATAGCTTTTAGTAAATTCAACAGTTCATCTTTGGTTTTCTTCTGTATACTGCTGGAATAGTCACTTGGGTCAATTCTCTGGCAGTAAATATATCCTTACAGTTAAAAGGGAAAAGTTCAGTTAGTGACTATATTCATTTTAATTTTTATTTTTATCAGTACACTTTTTTTGTTCTTTTGAGACAGGGTCTCGCTATGTAATCCAGGGTGGCCTTGACTCACTATGTAGCCCAGGCTGGCCTCGAACTCCTGGTGATCCTCCTGCCTCAGCCTCTCGAGTGCTGGGATTACAGGCGTGGGCCTCCATGCCTGGCTGTTAGTTTATGTTTGCAGTTTATAATGATTACATTCATCATGGGGGGCTGACCCATGCATACAACACAGCTTACTTTGTTTTAAATCTCCTTCCCCTCCCCTTCCTCCCTCATTCCTCAGATTTAACTGTAAAAATCAAGTGATACAGTAGTTTTATATTTATGTTTCCCCTTTTCTAAATGCTCTGAAGAAGATAAGCACTGACTGATCCTGGTCAAGTTGCTTTTTCTTTGTTTCTTTGGTTTTTGAGACAGGGTCTCCTTATACACTTCACACTAGCCTTGCACTCACTCCATAGCCCAAGCTGGCCTCAACCTTGCAGCAATCCTCCTGCCTCAGCCTCCTAAGTGCTGGGATTACAGGTAGGTGCCACCATGCTTGGCTCAAGTTGCTTTTTGAAATAAAAGGCTCTCTCCTAAAGGCTGGATAATTCTGAAGAGAATCTTTAGAATTTAGTTTAACTATTTATAGCAAATAACTTCAAATAAACAGTAAGAATTTGTCTTTAGATATCATGAAAATAGTACTTCTTAGATTACCTGTGTCTTTATTTGGATCTTTTCCTTCTTGTATTGCCATAAGCTTAACACTAACAATTTTATGTAGAGTTCCAGGAATCTTAAGAAAAGAAAGGACAGAGAATATATTTGAGTCTATACATAAATAGCACTTATTTGTAATTGATCATTTAAGTACTGTCAGAATTTTACCTTAAAAACATCTTTTTGATGATCCATTAAAAAGAGTACTAGAAGATCAGTTTTGCCTCTGGATAAATTTTTATTGTCAACAATAGCTTTTGAGAATATCCTTTTCACAACCATTCGATTGTCACTCTACAAAAATAACACACACATCATGGTATATTTTTAAAAGGCTATTTTAATACTAAGAATATTAAACATTAATACTCATTTTTGGTTTTTTGCACTACTGGGGACTGAATCCAGGGCCTTCACACTGAGCTACATCTCCAGCCCCCCTTTTTAATTTTAGACAATAGACTCTCTTTCTTTTGAGACAGTCTCACTATGCAGTTCAGGCTGACTTTGAACTCATTATGTAGCCCAGGCTGGCCTCAACCTTGTGGCAATCCTCCTGCCTCAGCCTCCTGAGTGGTGGGATTATAGGCCTGCGCCACCATGCCTGGCCCAAGACTTACTTCTTTCTGTAATTTAAATTCCGAAGGGTGTGCCGCAACAGCCATGAAATACAGTAGTCGTCTAAATTCTTCTCTATTTTGGGAATCCAAAAGCTTCAGAAAGAGCTGAGTAGCTTCTAACGCTATTTCAGTCTTCCCATTTACTTTAGCCAAAAGAAAGAAACCTGCTTTTAATTGACCAAATACGACTATTAAAGGAAGCAAAACTTAAATTGCAACTTTAGCTAAGCAGTACACTTATCCGAAATTATTTCCAAGGGCGAAAATAAGACTGAGAATCAAAATGAATGACCACCACTGTAAAGGCGGTCTGTTCTAAAACTGGCAACTAACACTATAAGTCTTTGTCATACCATGTCTTAGGGCAGTAAATTAAACTCTTGGCTTTGTAAATGAATTCTCACCCTGTGTTTTTCATTAATTCCACACCTTCTGAGGGAAGCACAAGTCCTGCGTAAACTCAGAGCTTGTTAAAAGCCTCTTTCCAAATGAGCCCTAGAAGTTTTGGAGTAAACACACTTTTCATGGACCAATCCATGTTCACAACTCCCAGCTTGAAGTAGTTCTCTTTTACTTAATTTTGAGGACAATTAACTCGATATTGGGCATTATTATTTTTTTTTTTTGTACTGGGAATTGAACTCAGGACCTTGCGCTTGCCAGGCAGGCGCTTGTGCCTGCTGAGCTATATCTCTGGCCTGATATTGGGCATTATTAAACCCTGGGTCTAGCACTGAGCTACACTATGTTTCACTTGGAGATATGGTCTCTGCAAATTGCCCAGTGATCCTTGAACTCGTGATCCTCCTCCAAAAGATACAAGTCCAGTATCCAGGAAGAGCTTACTTACCTAGGAGTTCTGCAATTCCATTATGAACATCAGATAAGTGATTCAGGAGAGGCTCCCTACTACTGTAGTATTTGCCAAGGGCATCAAACAGAAGCTGCTTCACCAGGTCTGTTCTTCCGGGCTGCTCCGGAAAGCTTCTGCTTACGGCCACCACCATGGGGTCTGGAAGGTATTCCAGGCAGTCAATCGCTGCCGAGAGCCACTCGTCATCTCTGTGGGGAGCGGGCAGAGCGTTCTTAAAAGGAAAAGATAACAAATACACACACAGAACCTACTTTCATAGGCTATTCCACACTTATGACTGGGATAAATTTCTGCACACTGGAAGATATGTCTAATTTTCAAAACATACAGCTAAATCATGTTTTACAAAATTTTCAAAAATTAGCTGAGTATGTCCCTTCATCTTAAGCAAAAACTGAAACTATCCAATACAGAGGTGAAGCATGCCAAAGTTCAAGCTCTACTTTTTACATTTACAGTGCAGACCCACAAATTCCAGGCTACTTGCTCATGCCTGACCAGGACTAGATCTCAGACCTGCTTCCTACAGCAGCACTTCCTTGATCAATGTAGATTACTGCGGGGCTGTGTGTGTGTGACTATGTCTCGCACTTTGGTTAGGCCAGAACAGAGGAAAACAAACTTTTCAAAATAAATCAATTCCATGTCTAGTAAAATGCCTCCTGAGTAACTTCAGAAAAATGTTACATTTCATGAAATAGAATGCCTACCACTTAATATTTAATTTGTTAATATATAAATTAAGAAAAAAATCTTGTCCTTTACTGTCACAGACATAGAACAACTAATTTTGCCATGTCATGGGTGAATTATCTCAGGCAAGTCACTTTGCTTTTCCGGGTGTCAGATTCACCAAGTTTATAAGATGCCGCTGGATGATTTTTAAGGTCACCTCTGGCATAAATTCTGATTCTCTGTAAAAATCAAGGTAATTATAGAGTATTTTCACACACACAAAAAAAAAAAAGCCGGGCATGGTGGCACACGCCTGTAATCCCAGCACTCGGGAGGCTGAGGCAGGAGGATCGTGTAAGTTCAAGGCCAGCTTGGGCTACAAAGTCAGCTCAAGGCCAGCCTGAACTGCATAGCAAGACCCTGTCTGGAAAAAAAAAAAAAAAAAA